AGTGGTACGCCCGATTCGACGTCCTTAACCTCATCCGTAACCGGCTTTTTGTGAGATTGACGCACAGATCTCTTAGTCGAAGTCATTTTGAATTGTTGAAGCTTTATATACCAGTATTTAAAAGAGTAATATTGATTTTAAAAGCTTTAAAAAATATGTCTCGTTGCTGAAGTAAATTTAAATTTATTTTTAAACTGACAAAGGCGTTCAAAAACTTTTTGAAGAATGTTTCATTCATTCATTTTCAAGTACAGGGTGTGCTATAGTTTCAGGTTTGAATTTGTAATATAATACTTACGCTATTATAAAGAGTGATCTGATTCGAGGTTCCCTACTTTAAATTAAATGTCGTCAATCTTTAGTTCGAACGAACAATTTCCAACAACGGGTTATGCAATACCTTTTAGGAAAGATCATTTCACGCGCTAACACGTGAATATAATGAAGATAATCTCTTTAAAATTTTGACCGCGGTTACATCTCAGGTGATCCATACGTTGAGTATAATTTTCGATGCCTCGTTCGAGTATTTCGATTGGTAACTGGCGAATGACACGCGAGGTTGTCCGCATAGACATTCGACTTTACATATCTTCACAGCAAAAGGTCTAACGGTGTGATACGAGTATCATACGATCTTGGTGGCCAATCGACCTGCGCAAAAATGTGAAATTATCTGCTCAACGAAGAGTTCCCTCAATAAATCCATTGATTGATGCGTCATGTCTTATCGAAATCAAAAGTCGCCGAAATCACGAGCTTCAATTTTAGGCATCAAATAGTCGGTTATCATGACGCGATAACGGTCACCGTTGACAGTTACATTCTCAACGGCATCATTTTTGAAGGAATATAGGCCGATGATTCCACCGGCCCACAAATTAAAAGAAACCATTGGTTTTTTTATATGAAATGATAGCTCTTGAATCTGTTCAGGTTTCTCTTCATTCCAAATGCGGAAATTTCACTTGTTTATATACCCATTGAGCCGGAAATGAGCCTCAATGCTGAACAAAGATTATCAGAAGGTCAAACGGTTTCAGTTCTTGCACAAGCTGTATTTTGTACGCTTTCAATATAAGATCTCGACATAAACTACGCCAAATCCTTCATTACGTCAGATGCTGCGAACGGCGCCTCTGAACTTAAGTTCAGGCTAAGTCTTTCCAAGATAAAATGTCAAACAATACTGAATAAAAATAATATGACAGCTAGACAGAAACTGTCAAACTGTCAAAAAAGACTATTGAAAAAAGTACCTCTATTGGAGCACCCTTTATGTTTGTAACAATTTTTCATGGTATAATAACAAAACTCGCATGTCGTTTTTTTTCAAATTTTGCTAATTTTTTATTTTATTTTTATATAGTAATCTTTATACATGAACAGTTACATATTAGGCACCAAAAACAGTTAATCTTTCAAATACCTTAATTTATTTTGAAATGAAAAAACTTAACTGCTCTGGCTTTTTTTAATACATATGTACATAGATTATGCAGCTTAAGCTTAGGTTCTTTGAAATTAACTTTTATGAAATGAGAGTACAAAAATTTAGAGAGAGTGAAAGTAAATGAGAATTTTGTTGACTTAAAAGTATAATACAATAAACATAAATATCTCTAAAGTTACAAATATCAATATAAGCATTTGTTAGCTAAAAATTTAACCAATTAACATACAAGAGAAATTACTAATGCTAATTGAATTACAAAGAAAATTATTTGCATAAATTACGAATTTTAAAAGAATAATTTCCATATGAGTTTACAGTCAATAATTTATTTGAGTGCGTTTAGTTAACTTAAATTAAAATTTTTGGTTGATAATTTAAAAAATTAAAATTTTGATAATTTTGTAACTTTTAAATTATGAAATTATGTTATAATTTTCTCATGATTTTTTTGTATCTAAATATTTTCGTTTTATGAATTTTTCGCTTATTTTTTCAAAAAAGTTTTATAGTCATTCTCTGCTATAGAATATTTTGTATGAAGCTTATGTTATTTTTGTTGCAATMATTTTTTTAACTGTATTTTCTATTGAAAACATTTTTTAAATGTCTAATCTAAAATGAGTTTTCGAAAATTTTGAAATTGTTTTATGAATATAAAAACAAAAATGAATTTCCGAAAATTTTTAAATTATTTTATATATAGAAAATTGTTGCTTAAAAAAATTGTGAACATTGTTTCGAAATTGTG